CCAACCCCCCACCCCCCGCAACAATTTGTTGCATTGCTAAAATAATAGCTCAGTGCTTTGTTCAGAAACCCCTGTCAGGTCACATGCCTCAGCAGCTCTGAAAAACAAGAAATTTCTCATGTAGCCCAGCTGGGAGAATGGACTAAGATCCAAGGTCCTTTTGACTGACTTGCAAGATTTTCATCTTTCATTGCCTACCTTGTTTTTTTCTTTGTAAGGTAAACTTCCTTTGGTTTGCTGTAAATGATAGCCTTGGATTAATCTTTCCCTTGTCTGCTTTTATGCAGCCAATTAGAAAGGAAGCCGGCCAGTTGGATAAGCAGAGTGAACGAGAATGTTTGCGGAGAGTCCTGAAGCGCATGGGCAAGCTCAAGTGCACAAGAGAGGTGAGCTTCAGCTAGTAAGTCTGAGGGACATTTTTACAGCTCAAATGGACTTTCCCAAGTCCTAAGAAGAGTATCTTTGCCTGTTCTTGAGGAGTGGTGGGGCAGTGGATTAGACTTGTCTTCCAGATTTCTGACCTTAGGTGGGGAAAAATTTATGCATCTGGTTTTTTCTCTCTCGACTCAGGAACTGACCACTGTTTTTCTCTGCCTGCTTCTACAGGGATGTACAGGCAGCTTCACCAGCATAATGGGGTATCTCTACCACACACAGAAATGTGGAAAAGCAGCTGCCGAACTGGAGAAGATGGCTTTAAAATGCCATCACTGCAATAAAGCGTATCGGTCCAAGGCAGGCCTTGTTTACCATTTGAAGTCTGAGCATGGACCTGTGAGTTCTTTGGGTAGTGAAACTGGGGAGAATATCTGGTGTCTCTTGATTTCTTCACCTTCACAAGAATTTCAAGTTTTTTTTTGGGGGGGGGAGGACTTATTAGGGCACAAGATAATTGTGGAGTAGGAAGGAAAAAGCTGAGGACCATGATAGTATTCAGAAATGCTGTTGTGTCATAGTATTTCTGACTCTATAATAAGACTCAGTTCTTATCATTCAACTCTCTTCCCAGGTCTTTGAATAGTGTAAACTATTGGCTTTTCTTGTCAGGTGTCATTTCTCCACGAAGACAGCAGGCCAACCCATATGAAGGACTCAAGCATGGAATCAAGCAGCATAGGTAGAATCCAGAGGAAGTCTGCTAAGGTGGCTGCCTACTACCTGCATGAATTGGCCAATGAAGAACTTGTAAAGGAGTGGCCAAAGAGGAAAGTCTTGCAGGATCTTGTTCCTGATGATCGGAAGGTACAAGATTTGCATGTTCTATAAAGAGGAATATGTCCAAGGTCTATGTAGCTAAGAAATGAAATACCACAATTAAAAGTTCTTAACTGCTTGAGAGGAGCAAATCGGTTCTTGGGGCACATAGTTTTATTGCAGTTTTGTGACTTCAGATCAGTGGAGCATCCATGGCAACCATTCTCTTGCAGGCTATGACTGTACAAAGTTCAGGGAAGAGCTGCTTTTCCTTATTCCTTCAGACAATGATTGAGCCATTCCAGTATGAGAGGGAATTTGCAGTTCTTGAAATATAATTTGCCCTGTTTTTGAGATTACCTTACGAAATAATACTAAATCTTTGTTCATAACTGAGTATCCAAGCTGATTTATTTGCATCCTTCTTGGAATGTTGCATACACGGAGAGAGGCAAAGAGACACTATAGATTTGCTACAAAATCCTCAGGAATTAGACCTGAACTAAATAGAAGATTATTAAATCAACACAGAGTTAGTGCAAACCAGGCTTTGTTTAAATTATATGTACAAAAGCAGCTCTTCTATGACTTAAAGTAACATTTTCCATTCTTTTTGTGGGATACGCAAGACTATTTGGGATGATGTTTATGGTTAGAATTTATCATTGGAAGGATTTTGTGCATCGTTCCTAAGACTTTGGTGACTAGCAGTTGTCTGTCCCTTTTCTAGAGGAAATTGGAAGTTCTTAGTGTGATTTTGTCTTGGTTCTCATGATTTTTGTTTTTGAAATATAGTTTTTTTAGAGTTGTAAACTACCCAGAGTCTTTTTAGAAGTTGGGCATCTTGAAATGTCATAAATAACCAATTCCAGTTGGCTATAGCTTTGCTAACAGTTTCTATCTTTTATGTTAGATTTTTAAAACCCTAAGTCCTAACTCCTAACCCTAATATCCATATCCATGCTGGGGTATGGTAGGGCAAATTGAAATTCATCTGCCTGAATATATGCTGTGAGCTTGATTAGGCAATGATCTTGCCTGACGTCAAAGCTCTGTAAGAGGGGATGATTGACTTGAACACAGTAGGTAGAAAGGGCAGCTTCATCTACAAAGGCTATATAGAGATGACAGCATCAGCTCCTGAACTCTAGTTTTTGCTTTTGTTTCTCCTGTCTCAGCTGAAATATACTCGACCGGGAATGCCTGCTGTGAGCCAGGAGGTTCTGTGCAAGTGGAGGTCAGAAATAAAGACGTACAGACGGGTCCATTGCCCCAACCAGGTAACCATAGCCCCTGCCAGGTAAGATTGAATTTGGTGAGCAGGGAGTAAGGTTTGCAGTTAAAACTAGTATTTTTCTCATGGCAATGTCATTAGAAATGTAGTCGTGATTAATTGATTCGATGGAACAGTTTTATTCTATTTCCAAACTGGCCCAATACATAAGAAACATCTGTGGAAAATCTGCAGATCTGTGAACCTTTTATTACTTTCTGTCATGTATCTTCTACAGGCACAAAGGAAAGCCTCTTTCCATAAGCACACCAACTAATTAATGATTGTTATAGCTTGTGTGAAATCCTTTTTCCTCATAGTTATCAGCCTAGATCACTCGATCTTTACATAGTGACCTTATTTCTGTTTTGTTTTCTCAAGGGTTGTGAGTGTGTCTACGGCAGCATCTCTGGTCTTAAGGCCCATCTGGGCAATTGCACCCTGGTATGTATCAGTTGACAAGCTGTATGGAGGCCTTCCCAGTTGTTGCCAGGAAAAGTCCTAGGCCGAACCAGGGGAAACCAGGCATACAGTCAGTTCCAATGTATTTTCTGCCAGATCTGTCCTCTCCAAAAGATTCATATTTTGTATGTGAGACTTTGCCCACTTAAGTGATATCAGTATAGCTCCCTAACTTAGTTTGTGGAAAATATTACCTTTGAGGACAGAAAGATCATTTTATTTTTCCTCCAGATCATTTCACTCTGGCCTTTTCATGGATAGGAAAAGGTTTATCGTGTTTTAGATATGATCAACATGATCCAGAGGAAAGCCATAATATTTCAAAATTCCCCAGAATAAAACCTCTTGCCCAGTCTCACTTCTTTTCCTTATGGTTCACTGTCATTGCCAGGAATGCTAATGATTTTTGTCCTTCCTCAATTACAGGGTGAGTTCGTCGCTGGGAAGTACAAGTGCTTGCTTTGTGAGAAGGAGTTTGTGTCTGAGAGTGGGGTCAAGTACCATATAAACACTGTGCACTCTGAGGTGAGGAGTTGGTCTCAAACACATTGACCTGTGTGTGTTTGCACACACTCCATAGCTTTAGGCCTTTTTTCTGCCTTTTTTTCATGGGTGGGAGAGGGAAAGGGTTCAAACTTTTTCCCTTTTCCTGTGGGGTATGAGTCAAGGTCATCAGTGTGTGCCCAGTATTTGTATTGTGCCTCTTCCTCTCAGGACTGGTTTGATAACACAAACAGCACTAAGAGCTTTGAAAAACTGGTAAAGCTGCAGCAAAAGGAAGTTGAACAAAAAAGGCAACGCAAGAAGCACGTGTCCAGTCGGAGCCGTAAGAAGAAGCTGCGGAGCGCCACTCCAAAGAAGTCACCAAGGCTAGGACCGGATCAGAACCAACGGCAGGAGGTCAAAGTCAGCCATTCTAAGATGGCAGACTGTGAAAGTAGGAGCCTGGAAGAAGAGGATTCTCTCCCTTCGAAATTCAGTCACAGAAGGGCAAAGAAATAGCCTCCTGCAGGAATTTCTGCTTTGCAGGACAGGTACAGCAGAAGTATCTTATACTTAGGGAGCATGTACTTAGCAAAACCTGGGGGAAGGAAGAGAGAGGAGAGAGGTGATTGGTTTGAGGAGTGAAATCAAACTACTAATAGTCCTGCTAGTTACTAGGCAACTTTAAGAGGTATGGACTTGCTGGCTGAGGAATTTTGGGAGTTGAAGTCCATACCTCTTAAAATTGCCATGATTGAGAAATGCTGTAATAGATGAAATCTGGCCATTTGGAAATAATAAATTTTCACAAGTTTTTCAGAGACATTCCATTGCACACTACAGGAGAAAATGTATTTAAGTTCTCAAATGTAATATATAAGAATCTAGCAGGGATAGGACTTGGGAATCAATTGATCTCAATCATTTACTCTGCTCCCCAAATCCTGACTTCAACTATTTAAGGCTTTTTTCCTTTGAAATGTTTCAGCATCTGCAATTCCAAATGCTGGAAAGATCCAAATCTTGGGAAGGAGAGGGGGGAATGTTCCATCTACCCTAAGAGACAGATATAAGTACATTGGGATAGATGTAAGATTTTTCCATGGCCAACAGTCCACATTTTCTTTTTAAGGGACCATAAAAGTGACTGCAGTTATAGTTTTGACACTTGGAAATAAGAAAGACATGTTTCTCAATCACAGGCACCTGGAAACAGGAAAGAGAAGAGATTCTTGGCTTGAATTCACCTCTTGCAAGTTCGGTGAAGATAGAGAGCAGAGTGTCTGAGAGAAGAACTGGTCAACAGCATGAGTAAGAAGACTTTCCTGAAATTCCACTGTTCCAGTCTAGTTGCAGTAAAACAAGATCTGTTACATACTGTTATATACTGAGCCAAGTGCTTGCATAGGATTAACTTGCAACATATGCTTATGAAATATTATATCACATAGAAAATAAAGTTACTAATCACTCTAATTGTGTATATTTTTGAGTGTCAAAATTATAATTTACTGTTACTATATAATAAAAAGCAAACAAGAACTGAGTTCCTTCCCATGAATTTAATACAGGAGTAGAGAACCTACATAAATGAGCTGCACTCATCTAGTGAGTGATTACATTTAACTAAAATTGATCTGGCCTTGTTTGTGGTTAAATTAAGTTCCCTTGTATTATGCAAAAGGGTTTCCTGAGTAATTAATTGATGGAGCTTTTTTGGGAACTCCTTTCTTTTCCCACCTCACAGTGTTTCACGCCCTTCTCCCCATCCCTCTATCATGGGTCAATCATTCTTCCTATAGATCTCTTTCAGAAAGTAGCCAATCCACAGCATGGCCTTTCTATGTAGAAGCCGTGTGGTGCCGCCCTGAAAGTGGGCGCCATTTTGGGAGCAGGCCCCATGTGAATTGGGAAGATGCATTAGATCTCCCTGAATCTTCTCCACCACTGAGGTACCCCATGCTCCACCTAACAACCTGCACAGTTGCTTAACTGCAACAGCAAAAGCAGGGATTAGGACCATAAAGTGAGGCGATCACGTGAGTGCTTCACTTAATAATCAGCACAGCCTGCAAACATAATTGGCAGACTCCAATTACGGTCATACATCATATGTAGTAATGCTAGTAAAGCTTCCCAAGGGAGTATACAATGGGATTATTTCTCTTGACAGACCAATGTAATTTAAGAGGTTTTTACTCAGGACTGCTTGCAGATAACAATTTAGCCTCAAGTTAAGGAGTTCTAAAACACATAATGGGTATTGGAAAGGTCCTTGTTTGGGATAATTAAAAATCAGAACAGCATGTCATGAAAGCATTAACCCCACTCAGCAGGCCTGGCATTACTTTCCCCTTTAAAACAGTCCCCAACAGGACTGCTATGTCAGCTTTATTCCTCAGCCTCCATGGATTACATATTAACCTGTCCTTCCCTTTGTATACCGAGTCTTTCTCTGGCAATGTGAAACTGTAGTCATGCAGTAGAACGAATCCTCTTGGGCAAAGTATTCAGTCAAGCCCAATTGATTCGTATTACAATTTTATTAGCCTCAGGAAAAGAATAATCAGACAACATAAAATAAATGAACAAGTTAAACACTAAATAATCTAAACAAAGAGCTATTAAATCTATTAGTATATATAGGCTACATGAATCAATGCAGAATTCCATTAAAAATGACTCCTATGATAATGGGAAAGAGGAATTTGATCCCCACTCATATTCACACATGCTTAACTTGAGTTCTGAATGAATCCGCTTTTTCAGTTTGCAAATACAGAGTCTCATCGATAGGCCAAATATGCTACATTTGCAAAGCCTAAGGTTGATACTAACCATACACCCTATGCTGTGTCAATGCATTTTCTAGTCCTCTATTGACAATAGCAGCTGAGATACTGTTTTGGAGGGCAGGTTTCTGAAACTGAGATACTTGCATGTATACTGTTTGACATATGGGAGATGAAAAGCAATAATCCTCCAACTGTATAGCAGGGATAAATTTGAGGATATTTTCAATGCTATCCTGGTAGGAGATGTTCATTCTGCTGGTGTGCCTGGAGGATGCTTGGTACTCTGTCAATGTTTGGGTTGAAGAATCCTAAGTGAAGGAATGAGAGGGCTGGTTTCACTTAGCAGTCATGAATGGGGTTGGTGATCCAATCACTTTCTTTAATTTTTATCAGTGTTTATTATAAGAAAAGTTATAACCTCAAATTTTTGCTTTATATTTCTATTAATTCAAATCATTTCTATAACAACAAAGTCAAATCTTAAAATCGAAAATTTCTATTTTCTGTTTTGAGAGTAAAATCTGGAAGTGGTTTCCAAATGGGAAAAAAAAACTAAATAAATTCTTCTTTTTAATTAAAGCAGTCAATTTTGCCATCTCCTCAACTCCATCAGTGTGGGAATTGATAGAGCTTTCCATCTTTGTGCAAATAAAAGTCTCGCTGCTGTCAACATATATTGTAACAAAGTTCCTTTTTTTTTCAAGTTCTTTATCCAGCAAACCAAAAGACTTCTTCTTTCAGTTTTATATTTATTTTAAGAACCTTCTGAATTAAAATAAAGATTTGTCTCAATATTTCTTTGTTTTGCCACAGATCCACCAACGATGGTAGAAAGTACGTTTTTCACAAATACATTTCCAACATACATTTGAAATTTCTTTACACATCGTTGACCATTTCTTGGGCATTAAGTACTAAGGATGCATCATTTTGAAACAGATTGTAGTCATTTCTCCACATTTTTTCCTATTGATCAAGCATTATATTGCAACCAAAGTCCTTTGCCCATTGAATCATCTTTAACAGTTCACGTTTTGGTCCCTTTCTAATTGGATTACTGCAGAGGTTTATAAACTGAATTCCTCCTTCCAAAAATAATAGAAACCACACCAATTAATCATGTTGTGCCAGTCCCTCTGTTAAGTGGTCAAGTGTCCTAATTGTCTTGGCTGAATGCAGTTTCTCTGGCCGTTGCGTTTCACTCCTCCTGCCACACAAGGCCAGAAGCTCTACCACTCAACCGGCCACGCAGATAGGCCAAGTCCTGCAAACAGCCATGCTCTCGCCACAGCTGCTCCAGTTGTTTCTGCAATCGGTGCTTATGCTCCTGCAGCTTCTGTACTCGCTGGACCAGCTGGTGCAGCTCCTTCTTCAGCTCCTTATTCTGCTGGCAAACTGTCTGGCTGTGCTCCTGAAGGCACTGCAAGGCCAACTGTTGTACCTGCTGAGCCAAGCCCTCCACTTCCTGCCATGCCTCCTGTTCCTGGGCGATCTTCTCTCTCAAGGCTCGTATCTTGGCTGCCTCCAGGTGCTGCATATGCTGCTCCTGCGCAGCCGCCAACTCCTTCTGCAGCTGCCGAATGTAGGAGGTCTGCTGTTGCTTCAGGGCTTGCACCTCACGCAGTCCCTCCAATTCAGAGCTGAGACGGGCCAGCTCAGCTTCTTTCTGGAGCAGCTGTTCCCGCAGAGCTGCCTCTTGCTCCTGAGAACGGGCAATCACTTCTTGGTGCTGCTGCTGGATTTGGCGCAGCAACTCCTGGTTCTCTTCACTTAGAGAAACCACCACACCCTGGCGCCTTCGGGCTCGCTTGGCTAGGTAGCCGGCAAACTCCTGGCTCTCATTCTGGAGGTCTTGTGCCTCTTGCTGGAGGAACTCATATTGTGCCCTCAGCTGTGCCCTCCTCCCTCTCAAATCCTCCAGGTTTCGGCAAACGCTCTCATATTCCTGTTGTACTGGCAGCAGCAAGGCATTGTCTGGCCCGGATTCCACGGTGTCCTGGGCAGTGGCCCTTGAAGCTGTGAGCTTGGACCTGGCTGGCTGTGCTTTCTTTTTCTTTTGGGGCTTCGGAGCCATCACCTTGCCTGGAGGGCTGGAAAGCAGATGGACGTTATGTTCAGGTCAAAGCAGGGAGAAAAACCTCAACCCGGATTAGCTTAAGAAAAGGGAAGAACAAGAGCAATTGCTCCAACAACCTCGATCATGCTAAGGCTGAAGCTCACGCAGGAACCCTCTTCTAGTGTCTGTGGGATTCAGGCTCAGCAGTGGAAAAAACGGGGCCAGCAGAACTGAAGGGATTCTAAAGATGGAAGAAGATATGTGTGAAAAGCCAGAAGGCTTCATACAGTAGTTTACGAAGGGGAAAGTTAGTATGAAGGAGGTGATATGGAAGGGGGTGTTCTGCTGGGGGGTGGGGGGGGAGAAGCTCAACAAAAAGTGTGTAAGGAGCCTACCTGAAAGTTCTTTTGCAGCTTTGAACAAATCCCTTCTGTGTTTTCTTGTTGCTTAGTGCCTGGGAGGGGGGTGGAGCCAAAGGGAGGAGGGAAGAGTGACTTTCTTTCATAACCATCTGGTGACTCAGGAGCCAAGACCAAAAATTCATCCTTCCAAGCTGTATGGCTTATTACATCAGCTGCTGCTAAGCTGAGGATTTGGGTGACAATACATTTATGTACATACACAATAGATATTCAGCCTGGCCAAATCTTATTGCCATTGCAACGTTGAAAGATCAAGGCTTTGTGTACTTCTTGAAGCTTCTCCATTTGAGGGATCCTTGGTGCTCTCTGAGCTTGGTTGCTTTCTTGTAGATATTTCATTAACCAAACTAGGTCACATCATCAGGGCTGCACTGTACAGCACTGATGAGGTGACCTAATTTGAGTAATGAAATGCCTGCAAGAAAATAACCAAGCTCAGAGACCACCAAGGACCCCTAAGCTACAGCTCTAATCTACAAATATTCTCCTTTATTGGCGTCTCCATCTGTTCAGCCATTTGTTGGAAAGTGGAATGAAAATCCTCAGTCTTTGTAATCATTTGATGATATGCATGATCTCTCTCTCTCTCTCCTCACTGTAGGAAAAACTGAAAAAAAGAGTGCTATGACTGTTGCCTTGAGGTTCTAAATCAAAAATGGGATATAAATCTAATGAATGAATGTGCTTGGCCACTTTTAGAAGCACTACCTCTAGTGCAGCATCTCTCTCTCTCTCTCTCCCTCCCTCCCTCCCTCCCTCCCTCCCTCCCTCCCTCTCTCTCTCTCTCTCTCTCTCTCTCTCTGCTTCTGGAAGTTCTTGAGGGTAGAGTTTAGGGCCCCTCTTGCTTCCAAGAGGCTCTCTATGTTGCAGGACCTTTTTAAATATGGATATTTAAGACTCCCAATTATCATGTGAATATTTAGGGTTCAATTGATCACTGGAAAGAAAACCATAAGCCCCAATAACTGTAGAGTAAAGACTAGTGCAAAGTTAGCAAAGTAATTTGAGGGGGCACTGTCTGTCACAATAGGTAGTGGATAAATCAATATAATCCTTCCAGGTTCGATATTTACAGTCTTGGACTGCAGTGCTGTTTTTCCTTTTTGCCAAAGTTCTGGAGTTTGGCTCCATGTAGGCTGGCAGAAGAGATATTTCATTTGCAAATTGCAATTATTTTATCCACCAGGTGATAACCCTATAGTTAATTTATATTTCTGTTCTAATTTATTCTTAACAGGTAGCATTCCTTTTTTCCCCTTTATTCTGTTCCTTAAGAGCTGGGCTTGTTAGCAACATTATCTGATCTTATCTAATATCTGATATAATGTTATCTAAGCCTCTCTCATGGTGGTTTTAATAACCTCCAGATATCCAGGAGAAATTTCAGTCTTTTAACTCTTTTATTTTTTTTTGAAGCAAGTACTTTAAGAAGTTTCTTCTATGATTAGTAATCATACTAATAGTGGTTGGTCCAGTGGTGGGATTCAAATATGTGAACAACCGGTTATCTGTGTGGATGCCATTTCCGGAAGTCCATTTTGGGCCTGGGCAACAAAAAATTAGCTACTGGTTCTGCTGAAGTGGTGCGAACTGGCTTTATCCCACCACTGGGTTGGTCCCACCCTGGGATGGCAAAGATGTCTTCTAGTAGAAACACTTCAACAGTTCCACTATTAACTGATGTAGCCATCAAAGACCCTCCTGTCACAACTTCCATCTGCTGTTTCAGCAGAAACTATGAGTCCAGAATAATCTTCAGATTACATACCAAGTCCTTCTGGGCAGCACTTCCCTCATTACCTACACCACAATCTTCATCAGAAAACAGATATTGGAAATTACTGTAGGTGAAACGTTGTCAGGAATGGCTGAGTTCATGTAGGGTTTTCAGGAGGTGTGCTACTGTCTCCTTCAAGGTGAACAATGTTATTCAAAGAAGCATTAACAGCCTCCTGAATCCAGTTACATATACCCTGCTTGGACAAGCCAAGAAGGGCAGGGGTCAAGCCAGGTTGAGTGTGGCAACATTCCAACCATAGAAGAACTTCTCTGACACTTCATGTTCAAAAGAATCACAGATAATTCTGCATGACATTGCTCCACACATCGCAGTAGACTCTGTCAGCTGGTTTCCAAACGAGAGTGGGTATGAGCATCTTTATCTGCTAAGAAACCAGCAACATTAGCTGTGGTTTGGAACTGTGGTTTGCCCATCCTTCTCTAGAAGGGTCTGGGTTTCATGGAACACGTTTGTAGGTCCAGAGTCTGGATGCAATAAGTGCAAAGAATTGATATTTTTTTGCTCTTACTCTACATTATAGACTCAGACATGAGTTCTTACCAATGTTCAGTGGCCACTGCTGATTGTACATTTGGTTTGATGTCTACCTTCAAAATCTAAAATTGCCCATTAACTTACCAAAGTCACATTTTAAAAAAAAGCCCTTGGAGCTTAGAGCTTACTAACTCATATCATTCTGAATCAACTTTGCATAAAGGTGCAGTAACATTTAGTCTTTTTAATCAGGAGGCATACAAAGGAGGCTAAAATATTCTCAGACTCTCTTCTGCAAGGACCTCTGTATATGCACCCAAAACCAAGTTTCAATTCCAGTAACTAATATGTAACAAAATTTGTTTTCAGTGTGATATTGGCTTTCCCCAATTCTGCTTTTCCTTGTTTTCTGCAGGAAATTCCTTTTTAATATTTGGACTTATTCCCAAATCATTTCAAGCTGGAATTCCTTAAGTTCAGGAACACCCTCTCAGCTGTGGCAGGAGCAGCATCCATAAAGGCGGCATGATACAGGCAGCACTGCAACAATAAGACACTGAAGCCCTGGCTTTTTTGTACATGCTTCGTGACATCATCCATAGACACTGAAAGGGACTGAGCTTGAACCCATGACTTCTTTCATTACTCTGAGAAAAACAGCAGCCCCTGCAGCTTCCCACGCGTGGCAGTTCTCAGGATGATTTTTTTCAGCTTAATCTCCAACACAAGGGGGTTATTATATGGATAAAAGTGGAGGAGTGATATTATGCAGGTAGTCTTTGATTACCAATGTTAATTGGGACCAGGAATTCTGTCACTAAGCAACACAGTAATAAGGTGTGTGATGTCACGAACACTTGACACCTTAGGACAGCAGTTCAGGGAGTTCCAGATATTGTTATTAGAGAATCTTTCATGTTTGCAACCTCCTGCAGTAACATGATTGCTATTTGCAATATACTGCTGGCTTTCCCATTGACTTTGCTTGTCAGAAGCTGGCAGTGAAGGTTGCAAATGGCAGTCACACAACTGTGGGATACTGTGATGTCATAACTGCAAGCTGGTTGCCAAGCCCAAATCACAATCACATGATCACAGGGATGCTAAAATGGCTGCAACTATGAGAATTCACTGTAAGTACCACTAATTTAATGTCTTTTTAATGTTCAGTGACTCAGGGGACATTAAAGGAGGGCAACAATATACTGTAAATGTCTTAAAATAGCATACATTCTACTAACAAAACAAATGCACCCTATATCACAGCCATCTCTTGTATTTTTAATTTTTTCCCCCAAAACTTTATATTCAGTTATATATAGAGAGAGAGTTTTGGACAAGACTGTTCAAAACATTTATATTTTCTAGGCTGAAAAGTTGGTATGTTTGTCAGAGGACTTTGAACCAAGCAACTATCTTTGTTTATTTCTTTATTTGTTTAAAACATTTATATAGCTTCCCATCTTCTGATAAATTCTAGGTGGCTATCAATTAAAAGAGCTGACCAGATTAGGGTATTCAGGCAAGGATTGGCCTGTAATAACAATTCATGAGGAATCTGTCTTCAGGGAACGCTAGTAAATAAAGAGATGATTAATGAGTTATTTGTTACGTCTGTAATGTAAACTCAAAACCGACTCGTGACATTTTTATGCCTAAGACAGAGTGGCAAATGGTGTCCCTATTCCTCCAACATTAAATTAACTAGTAACTGCAAAGTTACTAAATATAATATGTATATATATAATCTGAAAGAAATTATTGTATTTAGTAACTTTACAGTTTACAATAATACTGAGAAACAAAGAAAGCTATCCAATAATTTTAATGTTAAAAGCAACCAATCTTATGTTTTATTATTTATATTTCTAAGTTGTAATTGCGGTATACATAATAAATAAATATTAAATGTTTAGCCAATATATCATGACAAGTTTGCGACAAAAGAAAGCACCACAAGCCCATTACAAGGGAATTTTGTACTGCTACAGGACAGCCAGCACCACATGGTACCCTGATTCCATATTGCACCAAGAGGTGATCTGAGGCAAACAGCAGAAATTTGGACTTCACAGAGATATGGAAGGATTGTGTAAATATAGAAAACACAGTAGGCATTTTTGCTTTTTAAATGTATAAGCATAACAAAGTCATATAACAATTTGCTATCTTTTATCTGTTACGTCTTTCATAATGCAAAATTGTAATTTAATGTATCAGAAGAGGGGAAAATATTAAATACTTGTAGAGTATATTAACTATATTAAGAGAGCCTGAAAGGCCATGGAGCCTTTCAGTTTAGAAGTAACACTTAGCTTTGCTAACCTTCTTAAAGTTTTCATTGATCACTAACAGATGCTGACACAACATAGGCAAGAAAATGGTAAGTGAGCAGCTGTCCAACCTAGATGAGTTCAAATCGCCAGGACCAGATGGATTACACCCCAAGGTTCTCAAGGAACTGGCAGATGTGATATCGGAACCACTGAACTATATTTTTCAAAGATCCTGGAACACAGGGGAACTACCAGAGGACTGGAAAAGAGCTGATGTAGTTCCCATCCTCAAAAAAGGAAAAAAAAATGGATCAGGAAATTACAGACCTATCAGCCTGACCTCAATACCTGGGAAGATCCTGGAAAAGATAATCAAACAACGAATCAATGAACACCTAGAGGCAAACAAAGTCAGTACTAAAAGCCAACATGGGTTTGTCAAAAATAGATCATGCCAGACAAATCTTATTGCATTCTTTGACCAAGTGACAAAATTAGTGGATCAGAGGAATGCTGTGGACATAATTTACTTGGACTTCAGTAAGGCATTTGATAAAGTAGATCACAACCTACTACTTGATAAGATAGAAAAATGTGGGGTAGACAGAATCACCACCAGATGGATCCGTAGCTGGCTGACCGGTCGTACTCAGCGAATGGTCCTCAATGGAACTGCATCTATATGGAGGGAAGTGTGTAGTGGGGTGCCCCAGGGCTCTGTTCTGGGCCCAGTGCTCTTCGACATCTTCATCAACGATTTGAATGAAGGGATAGATGGGGAACTCATCAAATTTGCAGACGATACCAAGCTGGCAGGAATAGCCAACACTCTAGAAGACAGGCTTAAGATACAGAAGGATCTGGACAGACTTGAACACTGGGCACTAACTAACAAAATGAAATTCAGTGGTGAAAAAAGCAAGGTTCTACATTTAGGCAAGAAAAACCAAATGCACAAGTACAGCATAAGTGGCACCATGCTCAATAGTAGTAACTGTGAGAGGGATCTCGGAGTCCTAGTAGACAATCACCTAAACATGAGCCAGCAGTGTGCTGCAGCTGCCAAAAAGGCCAAAACAGTGCTAGGCTGCATTAACAGAGGGATAGAATCAAGATCACGTGAAGTATTAATGCCACTCTACAATGCCTTGGTAAGGCCACACTTGGAATACTGCATCCAGTTTTGGTCACCACGATGTAAAAAAGATGTTGAGACTCTTTCGAAAGAGTACAGAGAAGAGCAACAAAGATGATTAGGGGACTGGAGGCTAAAACATATAAGGAACGGTTGCTAGAATTGGGTATGTCTAGTTTAACGAAGAGAAGGACAAAGGGGGACATGATAGCAGTATTCCAATATCTCAGGGGCTGCCATAAAGAAGAGGGAATTAAGCTATTTTCCAAAGCACCTGAAGGCAGGACAAGAAGCAACGGGTGGAAACTAATCAAGGAGAGAAGCAACCTAGAACTACGGAGAAACTTCCTGACAGTGAGAACAATTAATCAGTGGAACAGCCTGCCTCCAGAAGCCGTAAATGCTCCAACACTGGAAGTTTTTAAGAAGAGACTGGACAGCCATTTGTCCGAAATGGTGTAGGGTTTCCTGCCTGAGCAGGGGGTTGGACTAGATGACTTCCAAGGTCCCTTCCAACTTTACTATTATTATTATTATTATTATTATTATCTTTCCCAATCATTCTTTGCACTGAACCCTCCAAGGTCTTGAAAGTGTTGCCTTCCACTGAATACATTTTTATTTAAGTCACTCTGTGGCAGGTTCACATATATTGCATCCTAAAACTGGCTGAATGAAACACTTTATCGGTGTCAATATAACATACTAAGCCACCCCCTAAATAATTGGAATAGTGGCTTGATATATACAGCATGTCAAGGTAATTACTGGATTCTCACAGCATAGTGAATCATGAACTACCCAAACCCATTTTAGCCTAGTTTTATGTGCTGGGTAAATCTATGATGTGAGAACCCATATTATAGACAGCTGAGCTTCCTCACAGCTAGGCTAGGCCGTTATTTCTTAACGACGTCTCTGCACCAGCTTGCTAATATAACTATTCTTCTTGTTGTCCGTAGAGGGCGCAATACACCCAAAATTATTGCTTCTCCAACAAAGAGGATTAATCAAGAGAGAGAATGAAAATGATTTGAGCAACTGGAGAGCTACCCTGTTAGCTTAAGCAAGAAAATATATAATTTCTCATATTTTAGAAAGAAATTAAGGAAACTTAGAACTGTCATCATGTCAGCCTTTACAGGACACAGCATTTTCTCTGCCTCCAGTCAGCTGACCAAAAGAACAAAGTTTTATATCACTAAGCGGTTTCTTGATTAATCATTGATGCTTTGAAAGACATGGAGATCAGAAACCAGGCCCTTTCAGGTGCCCCTTAAAGGAGGATTGGGAAACTGAGAAGACCAGTTGAAGCCAGACTAAATAAGACAATGGCTTTTAAATGTCTGATTTTATTTTGCATTTATTTGTATGTTCGATTGTTTGTTTTAGAGTTAGCCTAGTTATTAGTCTGGCATAGTATCAATTGTTGAAACTCCCTTAGCAGCTCAATTGCCTGTAAGCAGGACACAAACTATACTGATGGAGACCTCAAAAGTTTATGTAGATGGGGAAATCTATAAATGTATAATATCCAGGAGGATAGCTGCTGGAGATGTACTGTATTCTGATAAAAAGCCCATGTACATAACACATGCATGTATATGTGTACACACACCGGACATGTACATATAAAATTTTGGCAAGATGTGTATATGTGTAGCAACATCTTTTAAAAATAAAGTTGCTATAAAATGGGTATAGAATGATATACAGTCATTAAATGTAATACATAACAGGATTCTTCATTGAGAATATTTGTAGGAATAGACAAATGTGTTTTCATGAAGCTTTTCACTTACAGTATATGTCTTGAGTTGTTAGGATAACTTGCGTAAAGTTATTTCATTATTGGATATATAAATGCTTTATCTATTACAGTACTTTGCATTTTTTCTTTTTGCTGATTTTATTTCTAAAGTAATGCTATTTTCCTTATATATTTGTGTCTATGTGTGTAATTTTTTAAAAAGTTCCTCTCTAGTTCTCTGCCATTTCAGAAAATCTAGTCTAGTATGAAATCAATAGAGAATATTTGTGGCTCAATGTGAGGTCCTTGGGGTTCTCTGAGCTTGTTTGTTTTCTTGCATATGTTTCATAACCCTACTAGGTAATATGGTGTAAATTTTGGGTGGTTAAAAAAACAACTGTGCCTTGCTTTTAACAGTTTCCACGTGACACCTCCCACTAGCTGATAACAGCTACAAAGAAGGCAGAAGCAGCTGGTAGGGCATCAACGTAAAGCGTCTGCCTCTTTTGCCCCCTCCAGGCGTCTTTGCCTTCCGGAATGCAGGTCTCAACAAGGGGGCCGCCCCTGACAGTTCTCTCGTCTAACGACGCTCAGGATTTCCCCCCATTTCCGATGCCTACTCCAGTTGTGTCTTACTGCAAAAATACTCCAAGAACGCCCCAGGCATGATTGCAGTGGTCGCTCTGCTCCATAGGCGGCGTCTTCTCCAGTGCAGCCTAGCTCAGCCCAGCCCAGCCCTGCTTGCTCAGGGACTGGCTTCTGCCGCCTGGGTCTCTCGCAGACTCAAACCAACCATTGTTTCCTGGGCCGAGGGCGGAGCGCCGGCGCGCGGCCAGGAGGAAGAGGGGGGCGTCCAAGACGCCGCTTGCCCGATCGACAGTATTCGGCGGCTCATGACTTGGCTGGCTGGCAGGAGCGGCGGGGTTGAGTCGACTCTGCCGCTGCCGCCGCCGCCACAGACCCGGTAGCGGATTTCGGTTACAACAGCAGCAGCAGCAGCAGCAGCAGCAGCGCGGAGCTCCGCTGAGATTCCCGGCGGCTTTGGGCCCGCCTGATGGATCCGCCAAGCGGCGGAGGAGCAGGTGGCGGTTCGGCGCTGAGCTCCGGCGCCACTGCTGACTGGGGGAGCGTGGCGCTCGTCCCTGCTGCGGACACTGCGGTTCCATCCGCGCGTCCCTCGCCACCTTGAGCGCCCCGGAGACGGCCGTCAAGACCCCTTGTCGCGGGACCCCCGACGAACTCGAAGCCGCGCCGACACCTCGCCCGACTCGATGAGCAGCTGCTGCATCTGGCCGCGGTCATGGCTCCAATTCCCACGTACCTCAATCCGGCCGCCGTCCTGGTCCTGGTCAGCTGCGACCTGTGCCTTGTGCGCGCAAGTAAGTGTAGGAGAGAGATGTGGGTGGGAGAAGCTCCCCAGTGGGTCTGGACTGGCGACCGAGATCCCCAGTCTGAGATCCCCCTCCTGTGGCAACTTCTTCCAGCGCTTGCTCTTTGGACGCCCTTTCGGACCAGCCCACTTCGCGGTTACTAGCCTTGGTGCTGAACTGGATCCCCTGTGCTTTCCTGCTTCAGGGGCCACCTATAAGGGATAGTGTGACTTTGCTTTAGGGAGAGGGGCTCAGGCCTGCCTGTCTGCCCGTGTTTCTACAGTGAGATGGTTAGAGACAGCTGTGTCACTGGACAAAAGAACAAAATCCATTTCGGACAATTCAGTTGTATGAGGTTTGGAAGCAAGAAAGACCCTCAACACCTGAGTTGCCTTGTTCTCATCTCAGAAGTTCCCCACACAACCCTTCCTTTTGCCCAGCATCAAAATCTCAGCCAATTTCATTAAAATAAAAGCTTGACTCAAGGTTGTGGCCATTTGGCCTTGCTAGGTCTTCTCTGAAGTCTTCATCCAAGTGCTTTGGTCTGCCAGCTGCAAAGTTTTTTTAAGAAGTATGTACTTGGCACCTTGCAACAAACACCAAAGTGCATGCCCACATTCATCTCAAATTTTGAGCCACAGAGAGACAGGGAATCTGGCACTTGGTAGAAAGGAAACAATCATTTGCTCCACTCCACTAGCTTGAGATACTAGTTCAAGGCCCACATGAATCACAACCCCACTCACACATACATACACAGTAGTACATATTACTGGTGCAGGCTACCTCACTTTTTTTTTTAGCCCTAACTATATATGAAATGCTATTTGCTGCCTCTGAAAGGTGTGGGTGGAGTGAGGCAAACAGAAGTATGTGCTAAGATAATGGCTCAGGCAGTGGAGAGAAAAAATAGACTAAATGGTATATCAATGCATTCCTCCTATGTAGGGACATAGAGGCTGAGACCAAAGTCCTGGCTCTGTCAACAGATGGATCATGTACAGCCTTTTGTATCTCAGAGCTGCATTTGGCTTAAAAAGTGCCCACTCCCATTCAAACAAATATATTCTGGAGTTATTCTTCTTGCTTGTTCTGTGCTGATTGCCAAATATATCTTCTTGACAGTGTTAACATTTTTATGAATGCAACTAAGGTAGAGTAGCACTATTCATTTGGTTTTATAGTTTATAATAAACCATATGCAATCTGCTAGGAAACTATTGGTTTTGGTTTTCTAGCATAACCTAGTGGAAGGGATTCATATACATTTAGATAAAATTGCAAAGCATCTACATTAGCAAAGCAATTATACTCCTGGCACAATTATATTTCTGGTACAATTTTCAGAATTTCTAATCCACTTTAACTGGCCAAACTGTTTAAAAATTCTGGAAGTTTTAGCATTACACATCGGGAGATCATGTTGCAGAAATAACTGCATTGACAATAAGAATCTAAGAAACTAATTCCCAGTTAGTTTGTAAATCATGTTGCAGAGATAACTACATTGACAATAATAACTTAATAACTCCCAGGTATTGATTTTTGGATAGTTATATTCTTCTTTACAACTAGTATCTTCAAATGCTTTATATTTGTAAAATAGAGTTAAAAATCAGACATTTAAAAGCCTTGAAAATTTGGCCATCTAAACCAGGGATTCAGTGAAGATGACCATATGGTGACATTGAGAAATTCAGCTGGACAGGAACAGGTAACTGAAGTGATCAAGAAAGGCAGGTCTGTTGCTCAAGGAAGAATAGGACAAGGACCAGGAAAGGGACAAAGCTGGACACAGTAGTGATACAAATAGCTTCATTAATGAAACATGTGAAATATGAGAGTGTAGCAGAGTTCAAGTAACAGCTAATGGGTGTGATGCCCCATTTGTCAGAAGATCAGCAACAGATAATAAAGTGAAAACAGCTGATGCAGTAAATGTGCTACAGGCCAAATTTGCAAGGTTCTTGGTGTTAGTATATTTCCATTAGGAGATCTGGAAAGGATCCAAACTAAGAAGCAGATGAAAAGAGGCATTTCTAACCAACATACTGTATTAGATCTCTCTCTTTCTCTCACACACAATCAGTGTGAAGCCTTTATATAGTTTCCTCCCAGCATTTCCTTCCTTAGCTTTCACTTCCCTGTAAAAAATATTGACCTGCGCTCCATTTGGGCACCCTTTCTGACTTTACAAGCAAATGAATTAGAAAACAAAGTGAATATATAAGCAAAAAGCAGCTAAAAACATTTTGACCTTTGGAATTCAATGATACAGTGTGATTTATAGGATAAAATTTTGCAGGATGTTCTGATTCAGGATTCAAATCAGACAGCTAGCCAAGTTGCCTCCCCCACCCCCACCCCCACCCCCTGCCAATCTATTCCCATCCAAGTTTTCAAACTGATACTCAACAATATGGTTACTGAGCACATTCAATGCTCATAATTTTTATGAATTTAGAATTTAGGAAGAAAGTAGGATTTTGCTGGTTCTTCCCACTTCTGCTCTCTCTTAATACACAATGTTCTTGCTTAGTTTCTATGTTTCTAAATATTCATCACATTTATCTACTGTTAAAGGAATAGATTTAAATAATGTGACTTGCTTTTAAACAAAAAAAATGTGCTCTTAAATGTATATCCGGGATTTCACAATCACAAAGCAGCCTTCCTTGTAGCAAAACAAATCTTTTCCACAGAGGATCTGCCCTCTGGAATGGTCTCTCCCACCCTCATCCCACATAGGCTCTAAAAAGCATTAAAAACTCAACTTTTCCCTTGGCGTTGGGGCCAGGTTGATTGGAGGTACTGCTGTAATGTATTTTGTGGGTTCCTGATTACCTATTAACTGCAGTTGAGGTTTTAACTACATTTGTTTGGCTTCTTGTACATTGCTCAGAGTTACAGTTGTCCAAGTTGACCAACCATATAAATCTCTTAAGAAACAAAAATGTAACTTAAAAACCAAAAACAAAACCCCCACAAAAGAAGGAAATCAATTCCATCTGGTTTTGCCTCTCCCTGAGAAGTTCCTTCATCGGCTATGGCAGATGGAACTCTATTACTTTGCTTTAAAGGCAGTTCGATCAGGCATTGCTTCTTCTCCCTTCCAAACTCCCTCTGCATTTGACAAGGAGGTGCCAGGGGAAGAGATATAGTTCATTGGGACGTTAAGACTGGGCCTCTGTGTACTTTTTGTAGGCCTCAAAAAAGCCTTTCTGGCAGAAGGGTAGAAAAGAAATAGAAGCTACATATTCGGTATGACAATATTAAATGCAGTACCATTTATTGACATTCATAATAAATTCCTGTCGCTGCTATTTCTAGGGGGGGGGGCAATATTTCTGGAAGTCAGCTTCACATCTGCTCAAATGGCTAAGGCTCAAACTCCTGAGGATGCCTGAGTGAGAGACCAAGAAAAGCATCTATGTTCCCCTCAAAACAAGGCAGGGGCACCCTCCACTGTCCTGGATTGGCTAGTGAAGAAAGCCCCAAAGTGTTCTTCTTTTGGGAGCTGGGAAGAGTCCAGACATTCATCAGTAGCCTCACTTCAGGTTCTCAAAGTCAGGATTGCCATGTCCTGAGAAGCTTAGCATTCCTTCAGTGAAGAAAAATCTCCTTGCCCTCTGCCTTAGCCATGCATCTTTTTCATCTGGAAAGTGGGAAGAGAAGGAACAGCCACCCAGATCCAGTGAAATCTGTTAGTACAAGTTAGCTGCCGGCACTACTGCATTCCTGGCTGGTACACGATACACTGCTGCCAGCCTCCCATTAGCAAATTAACACTTGCTGGAGAACAGAGTTGACTCCACCTATGTCCTTGGCCTGGCAGGCTTGCACTGGGCTGCTATGGGCTTCTAGCCAGGCTGATGGCTCTTGGCAATGTACAGAAAAGCTGAATACCATGAATAGTAGCCAAATGGATGGGATAGTAGCCAAATGGGTGGGATCTTTAACCCCCCCCCTTAAGGAATAATGGTAGCTTTTGAGGCTGGGCCTTACTTCTGGATCAGTTCAAGAAGGCTGTGTTTGCACATCTAGCTAAAATTGATTAGTGATAGCCTTAGTTAGGCTTTTTTGTTGTTTAGTGTGTTGTGCAAACCCACCCTGTTTCATTACTTTATAATTGTGCAAATCTAAAAACTGGATTAATTCAATAGCCAGGTTAAGCATGCTGAGTGGAGTTATATTGACTGGAGCAGAAAGGAAATTGACTCTCTGCTCAAACTGCAGCATTCTGAAGCTAAGTTGTGCACTTAATTATGAGCAATGGAAGAGAGCAGCCAGTGAGGGTTCTCCACCAATAACTTTCTTGCATCTCATAGATCGGCCCCCATCGCCTGTCAACGTGACTGTCACACAGCTGAAGGCAAACTCAGCCACCGTCTCCTGGGATGTGCCAGAAGGAGACGTCATAATTGGCTATGCCATTTCACAGCAGGTGAGCTTGCATTGAGGCACTCCCAGAAGGAAGCCTGTCATTCCTCAGGGGACCAAGTAGCATCAAACCTTTACACCCCAACCCAGCCAAAACCTCCCATTTCTAACCCCTCCGTGGGCTATCACTTTCTTCAGTTCAGATGCATCCCCCCCCAGATGAGGACTAATCAGTCCCTTAGAGTAGCAGTAACTCTCCTTAAGCCGCCTGGTGGAAGTAGGCAAGGTGAGCCTGAGGGCTTGTCCCACAGCCTGGCTGGCCTCCAGCTTTAACAACCTTCCTGGTTCCGGCAGCGACAAGATGGGCAAATGCAACGATTCATCCGGGAGGTGAACACCACAAACAGGGCCTGTGTACTCTGGGATCTGGCAGAGGATGCAGACTACATCATTCAGGTCCAGAGCATTGGCCTCCACGGAGAGAGTCAGGCTAGCAAGAGAATCCATTTTCGCACGTTAAAGCAAAGTGACCGACTTCCGTCCAACAGCTCAAACCAAGGTAAGCAAGACCCTTTTGTTAATTAGTCTAGTGTCATCAACCCAGGTTTTACTCATTATGACTGCATAAACAATTGTCTGCCGTATCAAACTTACTCCAGCAATACCTCATATCTTTTCCAAGGTTATTTTTAGTAATTTCTCTGATCCCATCCATCCCCTTTATCCATTGTCTTCTCCTTTTTCTGCTTGCTTCAACTTGCTTAGCTTTTTTATGTCAATCATTAACCACTTGCTAAAGTTGGCTATGTGGCTTCGAGAAGGCCGATCTCTGCATTGCATTCTCTCACCAGCATCCAGCTCATCCCAATGAGAAACAAAGCCCTGCGAGGTCAGCTCCCCCCCATCTGCTACCTTGTAATGTTCTCTTCGTCGTCACTCCCCAGCTGCATACGCATAGTTCTTACGAACCAAAGGATAGTTAGTGAAAGATGGTCTTTCCTAGCTCTCTGACAAGGGAGATGACCTGTTCTCAATGTGAAACAAAGCAATTATGGAGGCACTGAGGAATTCTTGTCTTACTTGGTAACATGAATGATCCCCTTGCTAAGTTCCAGCCTTATGTTTCTACAGGAGACATCACAATGGAGGGGCTGGACAAAGAGCGGCAGCTGCAGACGGGGGAGATTATTATCATTGTGGTTGTGCTGCTTATGTGGGCAGGTGAGTTTTCCTGGGTTCTCTGGATTTAGGCAGGATTGTGGCTGGAAGTCAAGTGCTTACTTGGCATGCACAAAGTTGCTTTCTACAGTACATCTTTAGAATTGGCTATTACTTTGGTCCAGGGCTATTGGAGAAGAAAAAAATATCTTCTACAAGTTCCTGACAGCAAGTGTTTGCAAAAGTATTAGATATTTGATGTTCAGGCAAGGTAGTCCTCAGATTATGATCAAAATTGAGCCCAAAACTTCTATTCCTAAGCAAGACAGCTGCTAAGTGAGTTTTGCCCCATTTTATGACCTTTCTTGCCACAGTTGTTAAGTGAATCACTGCAGTTGTTAAGTTAGTAACACGCTTAAGTGAATCTGACTTTCCCATTGACTTTGCTTGTCAGAAAGCTGTAAAAGGGGATCACATCACCCCAGGACATTGCAACCATCATAAATACATGCCAGTTGCCAAGCGTCCAAGTTTTGATCATGTGACCATGGGGGTGCTGCAACTGTCGTGTGAAAAACAGTCATGTCACTTTTTTCACTGCTGTTATAGCTTCAAATGGCCACTAAATGAATGGTTGTAAGTTGAGGACAAACTATATCAGCATTTGATATCTTGTGAATTTTGCTCAACCTGCCAACATTCAACATTTATCATTAGTGTGAATTCTGGCCCATCAGATACTCATGGCCACATTTAAAATCTATAACATATCATGGAAACTTTATCTGAATCCTTAGCAAAAGCAATAGCACTTAAGTCTTACATACCGCTTCACAGTGCTTTACAGCCCTCTCTAAGCAGTTTACAGAGTCAGCCTATTGCCCCCAACAATCTGGATCCTTATTTTACTGACCTCAGATGGATGGAAGACTGAGTCAATCGTGAGCCGGTCACAATCAAACTGTCAAACTGCAGGCAGCTGGCAGTCAGCAGAAGTAGCTTGCAGTACTGTATTCTAACCACTGCACTACCACGGCTAAGAAAAACTATTTCAACTATTACCGTAGATGCATTTGACCAATTTAGATGCTAAACCTAGAAATATCAAACCCATTATTAAAGCACAGAAAACAAAAAGGAGTAGTAGCTGATTGTCTGTTAAATAACGAGATCTCCTTATTGTGTTGTATACAAATTCCAGATCTTTTGTACATTCTATGTCATAATATACAACAGTGGATGATATTTGTGTGTGTGTGTGTGAGAGAGAGGGAGGGTTAGAGTACTGCACAAACCAAATCTGCTCAGTTAATTTGTGGTTTAATGTATTATGCAGAACCCAGAAAAAATGGGTAAATTCAGTAATGAGGATAAAAGCATCGACAGAGTTGATAAGTAATGTTTTTCCAGGCTGACTACAGTGCTTTAATTCAATGCATTTTTTCCCAAGGAGTATTTTTCCATAACATTTTTAGATTACTGCTTGTTCACATACTGTACTTAGTTTGCAAATTAAGTAATTTGAATTCTTGAAGCATCTCAATGTTTCTTTTGTTTCCCTTAGTTCCCTAATTTTTCCCAAAACTGTCAGATCCTATTTGAAGAGCATGTTTGTTCTTTTTTTCTCTAGTATATGGTCTTTGTACTGATTTTTTTACATATTTTAATCCTTATTTATCATAATAGCTATTCTTACATATAATTGTCTACGAATGAACAATGATTCTACCAAACATGATCAAACATTATTTAATGTTTATCTTTTTCTAAACATTGGAAATGTTATTTTTATAGCAAATCATTATATTTGTGTTTTGAAAGGAACTGGATTATTTGAAGAAACTCTATTGAATCTTGCAAACTGCATGTGAATCCCAGATCCTTTTTCTATTATTTTTGTATGCTTTTTGTGCCTGTTCTCGGTACTTGAATCCTTGTTCCAAACATTAATCCATTGTTTACATTTGTATTACATATCCTTTAAGTATGTAAATTACCATGGAAATGGCCATTAGCAACTTTGTCGAATACAATACTTCATGTCCTGATTTCTTGTGATTGCATCCACTGCATGATTTGGCCTCCCCAGTTTTGAAGGGTGACATTTTCCTGTATCACACAATCCATTCTCTGCAGATATTGTGTATTCAAAGGCTGGCTTCTTCTGACAAGTCTGTACCTTTCTCCCTTGCGCCCTCTCTTCCATCAATTGTGTTTCTTAACCCTCTCCCCCACCCTTAAAAGTCCAATACAATTGGCTATCCTTCCCTGTTAATTGACAGGGAAAGGGCCTCTGTTCAGAACTTTCATTTTAGATTTTTTAAGGTAATGGATTAGCCACTCTTGGAATTGAATGCTGTAATAACAAGCAGTTCACTGTGCTCTAACAAATACTAATGGTGGGTGGAAGACTTCAGAAAAAGTTGGCTTCTATTCTTCTGACCCTTTATCTGACTCCAAAGGAAGAAAGGCCTTTTGAGCTCTATTCGGTGTCTATAGCATTCAGCTTAGGAATGGTCAGTTCATAAGTCATTTAATTCCTGGAGATGTTAATAATTATTATGAAAAGAATGGAAGCCAGAATGGAAAGGAAAGCAACGTTGTAAACTCTGCAAATGTAAAGTTAAACAAACATTTCTAACTTAATCCAAAGCCAAATATTTCTTTCCTTGTCCAAACAAAAAATATGGTACAGGTAGTCCTTGACTTACAACCATTAGCCAACTGACTGTTCAAAGTTACAATGGCACTAAAAAAAAGTAACATATGACTGTTGCAGCATCCCATGGTCACGTGAACAAAATTCAGCCGCTTGATAACTGGCATGTATTTATGACAGTTGCAATGTCCTACAGTCATGTGATCATCTTTTGTAACCCTTCTGACAAGCAGTCAGTGGGGAAGCCAGATTCATTTAACAAACTGTGTTACTAACTTAACTGCAATTATTCACTTAGGAAAGTTTAGAAAATGGGGCAAAACTCACTTAACAACCGTGTTGCTTAGCAACAAAAATTTTGGGCTCAATTGTGGTCATAAGTTGAGGACTACCTGTATGTGGATCATGCTTCTAACTTACAGTACTGCACTCTAAAAGCTTATTTCGTCTTTAAGATGTTGTCAACTCATTTGCCAGGTAACAGAGACAGGGTAAGAGAAAAGTTAGGCTAGAGATTTTGATCTCATAACTTGATAATGCATAATGGAAATAAAATTAATATAAATGTTAATTCCCCATGTCCTATTCAAAACTATGCCAATTTTTTATGCTCCTTCTCTTTAAATGATAAACTAGACAATTCTCAAGGGCTATAGGAACAGATGGATTTTATTCTTTTAAAACATTTTCAGTTTAAAACTACTTCCACAGAGAGGAAACAAATATGTGATGGGGGAAGATATTTCTTTATCCACATTCAATATCTGTTTGCACATTATTCACCAGTTGCTCCGTTGTAATGATTGGGTACTTGCCCCTTGAAAGACTAGTTTGGCTCTATGTAAAACAGGGGATGAAGATTTGGGTGTTTCTCTCTGCCCATTTCTAAATAATTTTTAGAGGATTTTTTTAAGTATTTAAAATCACTATCACTAGCCTCTACATTTCTGTCTAAAATTTTTTTAGGTTCATAAGCAGTTTTATAAACATAATATTTAATCGCTTCCATTTATATTGTTCAGTTTGGACCTTTGATAGTGTATGCCTTTGCAAAGTTTTGTGTTTCTGCTTTGGGCAAACTGTAACATTTTAAAAAGGAGAGCAAAGCAAGAAATATTCAGGTAGGAATATACAGTATGTAATAAATGGAAGTTCTGTGGAATCAATTATCAAGCTTTGCTCTCTCTATGACAATTAATACCATGTATGGCATGATTGCACCTGTTCTTGATTGGCAATCTTTAATAGATAGAAACATGTGAACTCTCAAAGGAGCTTTCACAATTTCCAACTCCTCACCTGAGACAAGCTCAAGTGTCCATGTAGATTTCACATATCGCATGCTTAATATTGGCTTTGAACATCTGAAGAACTTGGCCGTTGCCCCCATTCCAGGCATTCTCAACAAATTATACACAGACACAAACATTTGGGGATGAAAGAATTACTTCAAAATGTGGGAATGTATTGTGTATGTGTGTGTGTGAGAGAGAGAGAGGAAGACAGAGAGAAAGAACCAGAGAGACACTAGAATATTTTAAATGAAGGAGCATAGCTTTTCAAATGAAGAGAATGCTGGAATTTCCCTGGTTCATCCCTCCTTCCTTCCTTCCTTCCTTCCTTCCTTCCTTCCTTCCTTCCTTCCCTTTTCTTCTTTCCTTCCTTCTTTCCTTCCCCAGCTGTGATCGCACTCTTCTGCAAGCAATATGACATCATTAAGGACAATGATTCCAATAATAATAAAGAGAAGACCAAGCCTTCTTCAGAACATAGCACTCCAGAGCGGCCCACGGGGGGGCTACTACGTAGCAAGGTAAGGTACTGGGCAAAGAAGGATTGAGCAAGGGGTATAAGACGGATCTCATTCCAGATGGACTGAAACTGGCAGGGAGAGGTTCACAAGCACACTGGGCCACCAAAAGGACCTGTGACACAAGGTAAGAGACTTTGCTAGAAGTACCAGCATCATTGTTTACTACAATTATTATATGCCATAATCTCAATCTTTATTCCTCACTTAAGCTATAATGCAGGGCTTTATTTCACTTAGGATGTAATATGAATCTAATTGTATAAGGATACCAAACTTTAAAGTTTAACATTTGTTGTTAATCAAATTTGTATAGCTACATATCTCACAAAAAGTGACTCTATGCCAATTCAAGATCAGCTGCCAGGTGGTGCCTAGAATTTTAAAAAATAAAATAATGACAACATGCTCCGAGAGCTGTTAGAATACCATCATGGCAACATATTGAACCGAAACGGACATCGTGTAAGAAATGAGGGCTTTGTTTGATGAACTAAATTACGATTTGTCTTTCAAACCCAGCAGTAGGAAGCATTGCTGTGTTCTGCCTTTTGAAGTCAGGCATAGGAATCTATTTCTGAAAGACAAAGTTGCTGCAGTCAGCTTCATAGTAAGAAATCCATGAAAATATTGGAGAGCCATTTGTCCGGGATGCAATAAGATCTCCTGTCTTGGGCAGGGGGTTGGACTAGAAGACCTCCAAGGTCCCTTCTAGCCCTCTGATCTATTACTCTATGAAATTAACAAGAAAAAGTATGTTACCCAGTATGTACATATACTTTGTACAAATGAACTGGTAGATAAAATGGATTATTTTGTTTATTAAAGTTATATTCCACCTTTCCACCAGGGTTTACAGATAGCACACACCATTTCTTCACAATAAAGCTAGGCTGAAAGGGAAAGAATGGCTCAAAATCCCCTAGTGAATTTTTATGGCTCAGGAAGAAACTAAGCTGAACTCAAGTTTTCCAGTTCCTGTTCAATAACATAACAATTATGCTACATTATTTTTTCCGTACCAGGCTCTGCTTGTCATTCTTTTTCAAACTCTAAAGAAGTCAGAAACTGCATACTTGAATGCTTGAAAGCATTTTATTTGCATTAAAAAGTTCTCCTAAGTCTTATGTAAAAATATTAAAATGTAAATATCTGGTTATGTGAAATGATAGAGGGATTTTAACATCAAATACAGATCTGTCAGTAAACAAAACAGGTTGTTGAAAGAATATCAATGTACATGTGTATATGAGAGTGAGAAAGAGAATGCAATGGTTGCTGGTATCATACATTAAAAATGAATTTGAACATTTTTAGTCCCAGGGGAATATAACTTTGAATGGGCATCCTATCATTAGGAGAAGTGTTAGCCTAACTTTGATTTGCAAAACAATCACAAGGGGAAAAGTTAGTGTTTACAGTTTACCTCTCTGATCAGCTTAATCTCAATATAAAGAACTGGTATCTAGGTAATGTTTTTCTAAAATGAAGACAAAATGATTACACAAGATTCTTTTTGGCAGAGAAATTTGGGGCTTTGTAGGAGAAATATCTAAATTAATGCATACAAAGGGAGAATTTTGTTCCCTTTCCCCTTTCCCTGACATAGGGAAAAATTTAATAAGTTAATTCAATTATTTTTGAGAGTCAAGCAGCATACATATTTAATGTATTATTATGTTTGATTGCAAAGTCAGCCAGATGTATAGATTGGATTTGGCATTTTTGTCCATCTATTTGGTCTTTTCTACAGAGTTGGGATAGATAGGCAGATGTTTAATAATATTAAAAGTGTCGTCACAGGAACCAAGTAAATATTTTCTCCAATTCTTTCTCTTCTATAATTATTCAGTTGGAAATATGGTTTGATATGTTGTAGGAGAGAAAAAATATATCTAAAAATGAACTATCTGAAAACTTCTCTGGCCAACTTTAGAGCAAGCAATGCATGGTTAAAAATCACATAATATGGTACTTTCGAGAGTTAAAAAAAAAGAATAAGTTATCAGAGTAATCTACAGAAGTACAGGAAGTGGTGTTACCTCAAGGCAGATTATTGTGTTGCCATTGTGGTTAAATATCTGAACTGACACTTGGATGAGTCCTCCAGTCATAGATCAACTTCCATCAGCCCAGTCCACTGTGCCCAGTAATGATAATGGAAGGTGGTAGGAGTTGCACTGATATGAAATGGAAATAGTGGAAACAACTGAAGAATGGGAAGAGATTTACATTAAGAGGGAAAGCACTATCCTTAGTATAAACAATACAAGTATTTGTTTAGTTCTAAAGGACTGTAATAAAGACTCCTCAAAAAAGATGAATTTTGAGAAGAAATCTTAAAATAGGAAGGTAACATTTCCAAGCCAATATGGAATGAGGGAGAAAGAGTGAAATCTCTGCTCAACCAGCAAGTTTCCGGAGTGTTTATCGAAACAGCTCCCACAAACTGGCAGTAGCAGTATGATGGAGGAACAGATTAAAAAAAATGTCAGTTGTAAATAAGTTACAAGTTTCCCTCCCCACCTTGAAGAAGTATTTGAGTGATCATTATACTGTAACATTAAAAGCAGAGTTTAATTAACCAAATATAATTAATTTTACCACTATATACAAAAAGAAACTCATACTTTACTCAATTGTACTATTTCATTACCTTCTTGCATCTTGGAAATAAGAATCTTTTCAATATAACAGCTATAGAGAGAAAAGGACAGAGAGATGGATACTTAAATGTACCAATGGAAGATGAGAAAATGTACATAGGAGGAAGTGGCAAAGGAGAGGGAAAACAATACAATTATTAAAGAAACACTTCTTTTAACATTGCAGGATGAGAATGGATCCAGAGAGTGGAAAAATTGTTATTCTTATCTATTATTAAACATTATTCTTCTTAATTCTCTTAAGATTGCCTGAAGAGAATCAAGTACCTCCAGTATAGGAGAATAAAGGATAAGTTTTTGCTGACACATGCTTTGCCTCATATTTATATCTGTGGCCCATGTTCAACTTTTCAGTTAAGAAAAGTTTTTAAATGTGTGCAATCACTTTACATTATCATTATCTTGGTATTATCATATATTATCTATTATATCATCTATCATTATCCTTACCTTATTATTTATCTTACCCTGTGCTACTAATTGCCATTTGCTGTTCTATTATTCAAATGCTTTCAAATGGTGCAATCATTTTGCATGGGCCCAGGAATTATTAGCTATTGGATGGATTAATAAAATAGTGTGCGAGTGACACTGGATCATATTAAAGGACCTTTTGTCCTGCATTCCGTTGTCAGAGCAGACAGGCATATATATGAAACTAGTAATAGAATATAAGGACAACCGAATCCCCCATCCATTTGAATATACTGCTTCCCAAACTGGTTAGTTAGGCATAATGACTAGCAGCCATAGTTTAACAACCATGGATATATAAAATCATTTTTATAAGTAATCTATGTTGGTAACAAATTGGTTCATCTTTTGTTTGAAAATTCCATGTTTTCATTTAGTATCTAATTAGTTAAGATATCATTGAACTGGGCTTGACTTCTGCTAGATAAATACACAAACGTTCCATATCTCAACTTGCGTTTAATAATAACATGCACATGATCCAGGCACAACACTGCAGCAAGCTATAGTCACATGGTCACCATTTGAAGCCTTCCCTGCCAGCTTTTCACAAGTAAAGTCAATAGGGGAGGGGGCAGGGAAAGTCATATTGCTCCTATAAGTCACTCCTACCACTTTTTCTCCCAAGGACACCCACTATGGAGTACAAGATCCCAGGGATTCTCTGCCTGCCCACACGCCATAGCAGCCCCTTCCAGCGAACCTGTATCTGTAGGGCCTGGCTGCAGCCTCTACCAGCCCGCCAATGCTCAGATGTGCCCACCTACAGCCAGCCAGCCATGCTTTGCAGTGTCCAGCTACAGCATCCCCCCATGATCCATAGTGTCTGCCCATGGCACCCCTTCAAGATACATGCACCACTACCCCATGCACCTTGCTTAAGACTCCCATCTTTTCCCAATTAGCAACCTGAAGTTATGATGGCAACTGGGACTGCCAGGATGGCTGTCACTAAGCAATGAGGTCACATGACATTGAGGTTTATGACTGCATCATGTAGCGATGGAAATTCTTGCCCCAATTGCCACTGTAACCCAAGGACTACCTCTATCTTGCAATAAGAGTTTAGGTGACTTTGACCCTTTGATAGATTCTCTTCATTCAAATCTCTTCTGTTGTTGAGTGCAACAGAGGAACAGAATCAATCAAAGAAATCAAATGGGCAGAAAGGGAATTGTAAGTAGAAGTTTAGAGGAGGATCAGTTACAGCTGCACTTTTTAAAAACTTTTTAGCCTAAACATCTCTCTCTCATACAGAAGAAATCACCATCTATCAATATCATTGAAGTATAGCTGTTGCCACACAGGCTTGAAGCACTCCAGAAGGCTGCTGGAACATTGCTGGGCCCTGGGACTGGCTCTTCACCTGCATGCAAAGAATTAAAGCTTCTTGCCCTGAAGGAGGGATCTGCATGGAGCCAGCTGCCAAGACAAGGTGCATGTAGAAGCTGGCCTCTAACTAACCTCTCGTCCTGAAGTTATAATAGAAACAAGTCTGGGCCGCAAGGAACAGCCAGCTGCAGAAGCCTTCAAACCAGCAGCAGGAAGCACTGGGAAGTGCTAACCTGGGAACAGACTTCAGTGAAGACTTCCTTCCTGCTGACATGGGAAGCAGCATTATACTGGGCCACATTTTCTTTCAACCCTGAATGAGAACCTAAAGCATGGCCTGCAGTCCTAAAACCCAGGCTCCATGTCTCCAGCAAGTGGCAGAGAAACAAACTGCATCTTGAAATGAATGATGGATACAAGGATCACAAAGGTTTTCAACCTATCCAGTAGTCTGCTTTCATCAAGGAGTGGAGAAAAAGATGAACTCTAGATTGTCCTTATCACCCCATCCCAACCATTAGTGAGAATTTAATTCCAGAGCCTATTCAGAGAATACGTTACTCTGAAGAGCAGTAGAAAGAAGCAGCATCATTGTGAGCTTCTAGAGTTACCTTCTCTTTCAGAGTACTTACCACCTACTATCAGAATTGCCATAAACTATCAGTTCTTTATAAAGTTGTTTTGCTCCTGTAATCTCCCTTGTGCCATACAATGTGCCAAATATCCCCAAATCTATACCCCAATTGAGAAGGCTATTCCTTATTCCTGTGCCTCTATCCCTCACCAGGACCACAAAGAGAGGAGCTGAAAGAATGTCGTCTTACATACTAGGGGAAGAGCCACATTTATACAACATTCTCACCAGCTAGCATTTCCTATTTGTAACAAGCTCTTAGTCAAATTGGTAATGCCAGCAGAGAATCAGATCTCATTCCCAAAACCAAGCCTGAAACCAGGAAGCAGCCACATGAATCACCGGTGGCACAGAAATACCAGCAGCATTCCTTGTCTTCCAAGAATCCTAGCCATTCCCTAGCTAAGAGTATTGCGCTCTAGACAGTAGAGCAGGGCGTGATTACATAGGAGACTAGAAGAGCTATGGAACCAGCACCCATTTATCCTTCACATGTTACTGACTGTAGGGTCACGCAAATGTGCCATTCAGGTATTTTCCTATAAAAAATGCTGACACACATGAAAAATGAGGCAGAATTGCCTTGTACATTGGTAAGAGTGAAAATTTTCACTGCTGGTGAATTCTCTAGCCAATGGTCATAGCTGAGCTGGTATCTGAAATCATATCAACATTTACATTTAACAAAACTAAGCCAATTGCATTGCCCTAACACAGAGAACAATCACATACTGCTTTTTATAGCATTGAAGCCACAGATATATATAGTTATCCCCTCTTTTGGCTACAACATACTGAAAACAAAACCTAAGAAATAAAATCCACATCTGCATTTACATAACAGACACCCAAAATAACCAACATTTCATCCCGATCATTTATACAAAGTCATATTAGTTTGTGGTTCAGCAGGAAGAGCAAACCCGCAAAATGAGACTGAACCACAGTTTGCTCAGTCATGGATAATCATATTTTTAGAATGTATTTAATATTAGAATCAAATAACTTTTATTTTCAAAAGGCAGGAGAAACTTTTGGCTTTGGCTATGAGGGTCTCCCTAAAACAAGTTTCAAAACTAGAAAAAAAAAAAGATACATTCATTATAATGACCATACTTGTGTGCACACACTCTTCTCTAGGAATTGCTTCAAACAGACCAGCTGAAATGTATTGTACAAGATGTGGGGGGGGGGGAATTGCTTGGTCCACAACATACGTTTTAGTCCCAAACAGCTTGACCGAGCATCTCCTTTTTGGCCTCAAGTAATGAGAATGACTTGAAATCAAGAGTTGATAAGGATGTTCATTAACAAACCCCATTCATTGTTTTATTTCTTCAAAGTACCCAGTAACATATAGTATATACAATTTCTTGATCCCCTCCTGGAAGTAAGTGTCCGTGCTGAGACTAGAGGATTTATCAGAACTCTGAAAGATCCGTAAGTTTCCTCTCCTGAAAAGACTCAAAAGACTGCTACCAAAGAGGAGCAATTAGAGAGGGAATGCAGAAAGAACTCACTGAAGAAGAATCTGCTTAGAGACACTAACAAAGACCAAACAATTTCATTTCATGTAGACCAAGAGATACCATGACACAGTCAAAGGCCAGGTGCTGCTTCTGCCCCTCCATCAGAATGGTCAAGAAAATAGAGAAGTATTTTGTCTAGGGAGAAAGCAAACTTTGTGATATGGAATATTATGCAAGAATTGACTCCCAGCGGATAGCCTTCCCAACATTCCCTCTCCTTGTTCATCAATCTAAGATGAAGCAATTGAAAGAAAAAATGCCCAAATACAACTGTAGAAATATTTATTTACCTTTAAAAATGACATTAAAAATTAAATCTTTTGCTACAAAGCTGTGATTTGGCAGTGATGAGTAATTGGGGGCAAGGGATCACCCTCTCAAGTAAAACAGAAGCCAGAACTTTTCTACATCCACAAGGCTCCCGACCCCAATTCAACAGGGCAAGAAATGAATTACAAATCTGATTGCTTTTGCTACATAGCACCTACCTCTTCATTCAGGGCAATGCCTTAGTATAAAAAGTGTATCTATTGCCTTTACCAAGCATAGGAGTTCTGGCATCCTTGCAGAATATAGCTTTTTGAGTAGAACCAATGAAGTCCCTGGAGAACTCTTGATGCTTTTAATAGGTATTGACTTTAAGTTCTGAACAATACAAACTTATTCAAGGCAAGGGAGTCTGTGGCTGGAGAGAAGGAAATCAGCCTGTTCTTTATGCATTGCAGGTAACAAAATGGTGCTGGAGATGAATAGTGATGGCAGCAACAGGTGATTTAGAACAGTGTCCCTGGAGGCAGACAGTTGCTGGGAGGACTGCATCCCCAGGCTGCCACTGAGTGGAACTGTGTGACTGGGGAGCTCCCAAAGGTAAGGCTCCCTGCATCTGAAATACAGAGTTAGCAATAAAACTACTGAGGGGAATGGTGCCCTCTTCCAGTTTAGGAATACAAGTGAGTAATACAAGGAAGAACAAACTTTAGGAAAAAAATGATTAGAGCTCTATCACTAAAGTCAAGAAAGGCCAATAATGGACCTCATGGACATGGCAAAACATAAACATTAGCAATTTCTATAAAGGTAAACCTGGGAACGTGTTGACAGCAAAGTTAGACAGAGAGATTATTACCTGTGGTGGGGCAGCCCCCCTCCTCCATGCAGCTTTGAAGTGGAAAACAAAGACATGTTAGGGCTAACCTACTCCTATCCACCCACACACCTGCCAGGGTTACTTAGTCCTGCAGTCACAGGGGATTCCAGTCACGCATTTCCCAGCCATGAGACCTCCTGGGCTCTGGCCACCCAGACTGACCCTGACATGGGCTTCAAATGCCTACCCAGAGAAGGCTTCATTAAGATCTCCTTCCTCGTCATCTTCATCCTAGAGAAAGAGACTATTATGAAACGCGGACTCATCAATTCTCCCAAGGTAAGCATGGCTATGGCTCCTTTCCTCTGATGCGCTGACCTGTTTCCAAAACTGGGAACCTTTCTTGGCCATCATAGCCAATACGTTGCATGCACAATAAGGGGGAAAGGAGCTAAGGACATGAACAATACAATACCTCAAAGTCTGTTTTGAATGGGGGGCTGCCCAGAGGTGTCCTGACTGGCTGACAAGTGGTTTCTATGGGGCATATTGGCCTTGGAAGGTGCTTTTCTTCCTCCTTGGAGCCTGAAGAGAAAAGATACCCTGCAACTGATTTTCCTTTCCAGCTTCATAATAATACTGAAACTTCCTTTGAGGATGTGAAGAGTCCCCCTCCTCTCATCACTGTCCATCCTTTGGCTAGCCCTCTAAGCTTCACAGGTTAGCCAGATCTGATTCAGGGAATTAATCCTTCCTCCTGCACCTCACTTCCCTCTGCATTGGAGAAAGGCAAGGAGTTCAGTCAAAATGTGGGGGGAGGAGACAATCATAATTGCCTCTCAATAACAACTACAGGAATGTGTACTTATCAATCATACCTGCCTGTGTAGCTTGCCAGAGATCCAAGGCCACTTGGAAGGCCTGTGCCACAGTGAGAGTCACAGCCTGGGCCTACAAGGTGAGATGATGAGGAAAGAAAACGTGACTAGAGAAAATACACAGGGGGAGCAGGTCAAGCGGAAACCAACATGAAAATTCACCCCTCCTAAGGCACAGGCAGCCAGGGCTGTCTCCTCAAGGCAAACCGTAGGATTCAGAAGAGCCTAAGAACAAGTCCTCCTCCCTCCCTACTGAAGTCACAGGGACTCACAATCTTCTTCTTAGGTGATAGAAAAGCATGGCATTCAAGTGCACCGCTTTGAGGGTTCTGGGCCACATAGGCAAAGACTTTGTTCTGCAGCTTGTCTGTGGTACAATAGGAAATCCTGCAAAAAAGAAGAAGAAGAAGAAGAAGAAGGCTGGGCTTGTTTCTTACCAGCCTGCACAAAGGGTAGAGGCAGTCAACGCCAAAATCAGGAAAGGGCTCAGAATAAGACATGTTTGCTAATGAAGACACAATCAGAATAGGACGAAAGAACCACATGAATTGTTGGGGTAGGGATAATTTGCCAGTTAGACAAGAGCAAGAGTAAGTTTCCACAGCTGACATGAGGCCCAATGGTTTGTTGCAAGAACTTTTTTGAATTGCTACTGAGGTCTTGGGAGCAAACATCTGGAGGAGGTATTTGTGACTTTTTTAGAAAATACTTTTAAATAGTAACACTGTGAATCTGTTACGTTTAGTTGTGGTAGAGGTTAATGCCATAGAAGAGGGCTCCTTAGATTTTTAAAAAAATCTTTTGATAGAGTCTTGCCTGTTTTTCAGCCCTGGCTTGACCCACTTCTCACAGCGCATCTCCTATTATACCATTTCAACATCAAATACAGCCCTCAGCATAAAAAAAAAGTAGGTCACTTCTTGCAACAGCAAAGGATTCCTAGCAGAAATGAGCAACAGAAGTTGAAATGCAGAAAGCCCATGAAAAAATGGAGAGGGAAAGAATTTCCGAGTATGCAGGTATGAAAAGCATATTTCCTAAATTAGCAATAAGAAAGTGGCAAGTCCAAAGGTGGTTGGATTTAACCAGTAAGCTCCTCTGCATAGAAATGCATTTTTTCTAGGCAGGCTCAGGAGAGGTTCCAAATTAGCCCCAATTTAGTTTTTTATACTGTACAACATGCCATGCACATATAGAGATTCATGTAGCCTCTGCATGCACATTAGCCATTAGTCAATGATGATTCTTGATATATCATACAGGAACAATTAGAACAAATGAGCCATTTAGTCATCTGTTTATCGGTAGTGTTCTACCAAGAATTTAGTTTTCTTGCATGAACCCATACCTGTAAATGGAGATGGTTTCAATTGTTTCCTTGGTCTCAGCATCTTGCAGAGAGAGACCCCTGGGTGACACAGTCAGAATCATCTTCTGGAACTTCTTAGGCCCCACCCGAGCCTGAGGATAAGAAAAAAATGGATCAAGAAACAATTGTGGAGGTGAATGTAAATCTGTCTCTTTTGGGTCAAATTCAGTCAGTATTCAAATCCAGCAAACTGTTACGAAGTAATGCACCCACAAAGCCCATGTCCAGATTTGGATTACATTTACAGGTAGTCTTTGACTTACAGCTGATCCTTAGCGACCGTTTGAAGTTACAATGGACTCCAAAAAAAGGACTTACGATCCAGATTCGAAGTTCCAATGTCTACTACCACAGTCACATGACCACATTTTGGGTGTTCAGCAAACAGCCTGCATTTATGGTCATTTGCCGCATTCTGCAGCTACATAACCACAATTTATGTTTCCAACAGAAAGTGCTCCATAGTGAACAATGAGTTCACGTAATGACTATTTTGTTCACTTTACAAGCACCACGTTCACTTAATTACCACAAAAACATAAAATTGGGCATAATCATGCATTGACCCACTTTATCATTATTACAACTTAATTACAGGCTCACTTATTTATTTGTTTGTTTGTTTGTTTGCTTATAAAATGTATTGGCTGCCCATCTTACCATAGGGTAATTCTGGGCAGCTTATAGACAGAAATATATCTGCATTAAAACAAGAGTAAATTAAATTATGGTCAAGGCCTTCCTATATTCACCACTACCCTTCAAATTCTATTCATACACTATATGTGAATACTGATCTATTTAGCTAAAATAGCTAATATTTTACCTCTAAACTTATAAAGAATTTAAAAAAATCAAAACAGCAATCTACAAAGCTAATAAAAAGAATGGGAACTGCCACCCATTTTCTCCTCCACAGTTTGAAGAGTCAAGCTTTAATCATCCCACCTCTGAGCAATGCTTGTTTATGAAGTCCTGAGACATCAAAGTCTTTGTAATTCTGCCAGGCTGTATTACAAGAACACCACACTAAGGAAAGAAACACATCTTTTACCATGGCAATGATTCGATGGATGGCACCTGCTGCCATATCCTCCCCTTTGGGTTTCTCCACCAATGTCATGCCTAGGTACTTCAGGGAAAAACTCATGCCCTCCAAGAGGGGTTCACGCATGTCAGCCCAGGATTCTGGGAGTTCTGCAAAGCAAGGCAAAAATAATTTAGTAGAGCAGGGGTCCTCAAACTTGGCCCTTTTATGACTTGTGGACTTCAACTCCCAGAATTCCTCAGCCAGTGTGCCTGGCTGAGGAACTTTGGGCCAAATTTGAAGACCCCTGTAATAGAGGAACGCTATGTCAATCTCTCAGAAACAGCAGGTATTTTATCACAACTCTACATATAAAATACAGAGGCTTTCTTTAGAGACTTTTTGGTTTTTGAAAACTTTTGGGCCCTTCAATCTTCCTCATATGTAGGTGGGGCTGTAACCAGAAAAACAATTACATATTTCTTCCACAAATTATGTCAAGTTGGAATTGAAGGCTACAGAACCCACCATTTTCCTCAAAATAACAAAAGTAGTCTCAAGTTGCAAAGTCTAGCTTCCATCATTATGCACAGACAAAACGGATGAAATTCACAGCACATAAACACATGCTGCTTTTGACATCTGTACATATCCACCTTGTGAACATCTCTGATTGGAAATAATTAATAGCTGGACCAAATCAAAAGCATTTTAGGGGCTGTGTTTCTATGTTTCCACTACTTGCATGCCATTTTCTACTG